AAGGGGGGAGGGCCGGTTGATGACCACGGTCATAACGACAACTCCTGGCCTCTTAATCACCTCGTAAAACAACAAAACTCCCACTAACTTGATAACACAGTGATGCGAATTATTTAAAAAACGAGACGCATCAGAGAGAGAGAGAGAGCATCTATTTGTTTGAAGAGGAGGAATAATAGAACATCGGTTCCTGAATAATCTCAACGAGAAATAAGGAATTTAACATAAATATGTATATGATAAACGAGTAAATGTAATTTTAGAGGCAGCATCTGAATAGTCTTGATTTTTTTTTTTTTTTTTTTTTTTTTAGTTCTACCGGGAGAAAAAGTGGCGAATCTTCTCGAAGATATGACAGTTTAAGCATTTTACTCCACTGGCTGTGTTATACATAGTCAGGGATTTCGACTCTCATCTGTTTCGCACTACCACCCCAACATGGGGTGGGTTTCGGCCAGATGATTGTCTAGATGGTTAAACTATCATATGTTGGTTTGGCTCTGAATTAGAAAGTTGCCCTGATCAGGAGCTGGCTAAGGAGATCGGGGACCGAGGTCGAGCCGACCAACTAAACCAAACTCACGGCTGCATATCTGCCCGAATAATGCCGGAATTGCAGCCAGAGAAAAATCCCCCAACAGGGATGTGAGGTGTTATTTAAGGTTATTTTATGTTTTAGCGTCTTGATAATGTACGTTTGGATTAGATTCCAATTTTCTTGAGAACTGAGCATAGTTTGTATCACATTATTTGGTGAGATTTCTAAATTGAGTTGCGATTCTAATTCTTTTTTGTTCCCTTCAATATGTGTGCAGCCGAAGAAAGTGTGCTTCGGAGTATCCGGGGCAGACAGGCATAGGGGGCACAGAGGGGACACAAGGGGAAACAAGTTTAAATCTGAACAAATACGAATTAAAAGAGCCGTGTCCAGAGAAGAATTGAGACAGGTAGAAATCGACGTCCCCATGAGTTCTTTCCATCCATGGCAGTAATGAGGGAAGTAGTTTGTGTAGCCATTTATCTTTGTTTTGAAGTCCTTCTTCTATCCATTTCTCATTCCAGCGCCTGTTGATGTCAGTTTCGATTTCCAGTCTATCTTCCTGTTTCTTTATTGTTCTTAGCTTCTTTTCAATTAACAATTCCGTTGGTGGTATGTCTGTAATTACATTGAGGACATTATTGCTGACAGTTTTATATGCGCAACTAAGGCTTCTTTTAAGAGGTATAATGGTGGTTGTAATTAGATTTATGTTCTTTCTGTTGCAGGAATTCGCCCATATTTCAATACCATACCAGATGATTGAGAGGATAGCATGTATGATCAGTTTCCGTTTGAGGAAGGTCGGTCTATCTACGTTGGGCATAATTGATTTAAAATGGTTGGTCACTAATTTTGTTTTTTCACAAACGATTTTGAGATGGTGTGACATATTGAGACCCTTGTTGAGATTATAACCAAGGTATAGTCTTGAATTTGCAATGCAAATCTTGCAAATCTTGCAATTTGATTGTGCTTATATTTTACCTATTTATCAACAAATGGAACGTTCAAACGCGGGAGGAATGGTATTTTAAGGATAAAACGCACACACGTTTAGAGTTTTTCAAATTATTTTCTTATGATTTATGACTGCTAATGCCTTGACTTGTATTCATCGGTTTTGATTTTACAAGCATAGTACTTTTGTAAACATTAATTTGATGGTGGGTATGTTGCCGAAGAGCTAAAAATCACTTTTTAGGACACTTTTTTTAACACCTACCTACCATCCCACCTATAAAATTTATCAATCGCTACTACATGTATGTTACAAATTAATGATAAAAATTAATGTTAAATTTACATGAAGTCCCTTATAATTTGAAATAGTTAGCTTCAATTGTGTTCGATGATTAGTTTAATAATGTTCAAGTATCGCATTGGTACATTATTGACGAAACCCAAAATTTTGACAGGTGATGCGTTACCCATTACCTAAGTTATGAATGATGAACAAAAAGTGTCATGATAATTAATATACTCCCGCCATTAGAAAATGACAATAGCAAACGCTTATGTTTCAGGTTTACGGTATGGTTGGAGGAGATCGGAGAGATTCGAAGTTTAAAAGAAAATCTGAATGTGTGGGCCGAAAGAGCTTTTACGAATTTAAATTAATTAATTTAAGAAAAAACTTTGGATTTTTAAGAACGTGACTTGAAGTTGATGGGATTACGCCGCACCACAGTATGGTCAAAGGAAATCGTTGGCAGAACCTGATAGGTAATGGGTAAGTGTTTTGTTATAGAAATAGATAGTTTAGCTATTTTCTGAATTCATCATTCTTTTTTTTCACCTTTTTACCAGTATTACTTTACATCTGTCATCAATCTTTACATCTGTGGGATACGGAATAACGTAAGGCGCACGACCAGCAACTATTTTAACTCTCCGGAGCTCGGGTTGCATAACCGATGAATAGCAGGTACTTAATCATACAGGAGGTAACAAAAATCATGAAAAGGATAAGACTAAGGGCAAGCTACGATTTTTATACTTATTAAAACAGCATAGCCTTGGAATGGAAAGGGGGAGATGAGTTTCGAAAATAAGCCATGTCCATTCGAAAAACTACTCCTGACAGAAAAGATATTTTTGTTTTCATGTAATTATACCAATATTTTTGCAAAAATTACTTTATTTTTTTTTTAAACCGCAGAAAAGTGGAGTCAGTTTTGTAATGAGATGTTCCTGTTTCAAAATGAAATCTTCTTGACGACACACTCAAGAATGTTTCTGCCTAAATCAAGTCTCTTCTTTCTCTAATAAAATTAAAAAATTATGCTAAACGTTATAAAATACGAATGCTAGTACTTAGTGAGTTTTTTGGACCACCGCTCTCTTTTTGCGCCAAGGTGTCTTGATTTATTTTGCGAGGAAAGCTCTGTACTCTTAGAGGATGCCTGTCATTATTGATACGTTGGAGCGCCTTCATGTCGTATGATACTGTGCAACACTCTGTCGCGAAACAGTTGCTTAAAGCGCCGTGGCACTCCACCTTGCGGGGCGAGCAACCAGGCAATGCGTGAAGTATTCCTGTTAGGTTTGTAGGCGCCAGCGCGCGTATAGCGCTAGCAGCACGCCGCTAAATGACCCGTTAAGTGGGATTTCCTGGTCAGAAAATCGAATGGAAAGGGGGAGATGAGTTTCGAAAATAAGCCATGTCTGTGCGAGAAACTATTCCTAACAGGAGAGATATTTTTGTTTTCATGTAATTACATAGATAGTTTGGCTATTTTCTGGGTTTCTCATCTTTACTTTCTTTCTCTTTTTTACCTTTTTACCAGTATTATTTCTCGCTTTTCTACAAATTTTCAACAACAACAATCAATAACATGCATGTATCATCCTCATTTATTCGACGTTTTTGTTGCACAATCATTAAAAACACTTCAAAGTGTACCCAGATAAATATTTTGCAGTTTACCACAGTTTTTGGGACCGTGAGGGGGGACTCCGTTAAACGGTACGTAATTATTAAAAGGGGTTCCGGGGTTGCGTCACCAGGGAGTGCAAATTGCGTTACGTTGTGTAAGCTCCCTTAGGGTATGGCTAATCAGATATCTGGTGGCATTTACCACACTTTTGATGAATGTGGTTAGAGTTACAGTATTTGCTACCGTAGAGTGCGCTGATGATTACCATACTAATGTCACTGTGCCTCAAACCATCTTTATGGGCGCACACTCCACATGGAGTTTTTCAGCGGTTTTGCTTGGTTTCTGCACCATTGATACAATAGTGCATTCTCGCAATACCTCACGGGTTCCTTTCCACTTCTTGCTTGGCGGGAAAATTCGATTTTGTCAATGGTCCTGGTACCATTTATAGTGGCCGTCTTTGATTAAACTTTGTGGAATCGTTGTGACTCAAGCTAACTCAATGCATTGCGAATATTTTTATCTACATTGAGTACCTCAATTTATGGTTTAGAGTGTCATTTATGATGTTGGAGAAATTTGAAAATTTCGATAGTCAACTCGGATAGGCTGATCATATCGGATTCATGCGGGTTGTTGTCAAGTGTAGCGCTGCAGTCATTCCAGTGAATGCGTATTTCCTATAATTAGATGAACTACATTTTGCAGTTGGGAACAAAAGTTTCTGGCTCGTCAGTATAAACACGTATGTCTTTAAGGATACTAATGGTCAATACGTTGTTTTCAGACAGTATGTCAGAGTTTTTAGCCAACGTGCGTTAAATTGAGCATTAGGCTGATATCTCACTACAGAAGAACACATTGTCTTTAGTCTGAGCCAGAAATTATAGTTCCATATTGCAAAATGTAATTCAGTTTAGGTTTGCTAAACCAATCGCTGAACTCTTAGTTTATGAGTCATTATCAGGCGAATATGAAAGTTGAACGCTGAATGTAACTTTCACACTTCAGGGAAGATAATAACAACTCATTAAAATGTAAAATCTTGCCTCTCATGTTTCCTGCTTTTTTATATTATTGCCCATGGAAAATACATTTTGGACCACACAAGTCCATTCTCTACACTATTATCACAAAAATTCTCACAAACTTCTCTATATATTAACATAGTGTTACAACAAAATAATAAAAGCAAAATAGAACTATCATATACAACTTTTAAGAGAAAGTTTGTCTGATTTCCCCTTTATAAAAAATAATAATAATTATGATAAGTTCTTGGAATCAATTTCTTGGCATTCTCAACTCATATCAGACCAATTCACAAAATTAAAACGTGTAAAATGATGTAAAATTGCGATGTTCCCAAACGGTCTCCATTTCAAGCATTACGATCAATGTAGCTTAACCTTGGTGATCGGGCGAACAACTCTGCACTAGACGTCAACTTTCAACCGCGCAGTAATGAGATCCTTTGTTCAGCAGCCCGCAAGCGCCGCCGCCAATGACGAGTCAGCGCGCAAGCGCAGTATCCGCCGCAGCCAATCACAAGTCACCACGGCGCACGAGATTTGAACTTCGCCACAACAGAGCCCGCGCAATACAAATTCAGCGGCCAGCGGCAGCTTTCCCGCCCAATTCACTCTTGCTTCGCCAACCGACCAATCACAAGCAAGTTGGTTTCCCGCATTCGCACACAAAGGAAATCTGCATATAAATATACCCGCAATTCGCCAATCTATTTACTCTGAATGCAGCAGTCGACCAAGAAGCACCTCACTCTCAAGCTCTCAACAAGGATTAAGTCAAATCAAGCCAAGCAAGCAGCTGAAGAAATATCCTAAGGAGCTCAGCAAGAAATTGGCGCTTTTTGGATCAAGACCGAAGTTCAGTTTCCCGCTACATTGGCACCAAGGTCAAGCATTAGCGGTCATCATTACACAGAACGAAGCAAATTCATCATTTCAAGCATTCAAAATTATTCACCTTCCAGTCATCTCTATTTCGGACTCATACAGTTTGTATACCACCTCCAATTTGGAGAAGCCGATTCTTCGGAATCTGGAATAATAATAAGTGCAATCGCACATAGCTCTCAATATTCAAACCCTTCTGGTTTTCCTGCTCACTGCAGAAGCCGGTGTACTATACGCCTGGTAACCCTTCAGGTTTCCTATCCACGGATAGTAGCCGATTCACTCTGAGTCTGGTAAAACTCAAAACTCCAAGTAGGATCTCTTCCAGATCACTAAATCAATCTTGCAGTCACCTCAAATCTTTCTCTTCCCACTCTCATTTTCCGAGCCAAGGCAAATTGGGGGGTCGCTACGGCTCTTCACTTGTCTCACTCTAAACCTCATATCCTATTCCATCTTTTCTTTCTTTCCTATCATTTCTTCAATTGGTCCCTCGGTAAAATTCACTTTCAACCTTTAGGTCTATTGTTGTTTTTTCATCATTTTTTTTGAGCCGTCACTCTTCAAAGTTAAAAGTGCAGTTTTTAAAAGTATCAACGTGTTGTTAGCAAACATGACAAATCTTTGATTTCCTGAACTGATTATATGAAGTTCAACCCGATAGATGACGGAATTTAAGTATAGTGGTTGCCATTTCAGCCTAACTTTACCTATGCATAAATGAACTAACGGAGAGGCACGACTCATTATGTCCATTTTCATATTTAACACAGGCTCACCCAAACTGAATGCCCGTCAAACATTTTCAAAAACCTCCATGGGGTATCATTATTAGTACAATTATGCGAATATTTTTAGATTACTTTCTAAATTAGAAATTTTGTGACCTCCAGTTTCACAACGTTGAAAAAACATTGTATTTAATATCTCTTTTATGCTAATTCAAACCAAAATCAACAAGCGTGTAAGGCAAGATTTTTCATTTTAATTATCTATTAATATAAACAAGCGAAATACGCTTTATGATAAAGAATATGAAAAATATACGATTTATGATAACAGTCTGGAGTTTTTCAAATGTATTGTCGCTGCATCCGATCCACTGGGTTTTTCAGAGGCAGTTTTGAAAAGAGAAAAATTGCTTCCTCGCTACACGTGAGCGTTGAAGTTAGGACGCACAAAGTAATTATAGCGACCACTTTATCGCTGACTACGTTAATGGTATCTAGGGCGGGGCGCAAGGCGGTCGAAGGGAGCAAGGGTGTGTGTGCNGGGGGGGGGGGGGGGGGGGGGGGGGTCACGACTCTCGTAAAAAGAGGACGTTAATAAACCGTTTACTTTGAGGATGAACTAATCGCGGATAGGTTACGGGCTCGGACGCAGTGTTAAGTGCCGGTTAACAGTATTCGCTCGCTATAAAAAACGACGAATGTTACACATCGATGCAAGCTGTGGCGAATTATACCGGGTACTTGGGCCCCGCACACAAGCATACAACCGTGATAAAGAAGAACGCCGTATGAACATTCAAGAGTTCCAGGGTGTCTACAAGTCCGGAATTTCCGGAAAACCCGGAAACAGCACTGATTTTTTAAGGGCGGTCCGGAAGTCCTGAAAAAAAGCGGAAGGAGGAAGGAGGTCCGGAATTTTTTTCACCTCTTATCATTTTTGTCGCAACTAGAGCGAGATATTCAAATTTTTGAAATTTTTCGAATCCCATCAATTGGAAGGTACTGAAAAAGTACTGAATTTTTCTGTTGAGGAGGTACTGAATTTCTCGGGAATGTACTAAAAAAGTACCGTAAAAGTACTCATTTTCGGCCAGCCTGTTTTGGTAGACACCCTGCAAGTTGCCAAATTTCCTTTGCTAAAATGTTTCTTGGAAAAGTTTCTTGGAATGTTTGTTGGAAAGTTATGAATATTTTTCCTTTAAATTTTCATGATCTTCAGGTAAAATCGCGAACTAAGTGCCATCGAGGATATATATGTTCCAGTGCATGTGTCAACAAATCCACAGAACGGACGATTCCCTCAGGTTAAATCTCCGTAAATATAGGCCGAGTAAATGCCTATCTTAGAAATGCATTTTATCGATCGAGGTTATCGAATTATCAATTAGATATCGAAGTAATAATCGATCCGCATCTCTCGAGGCGAACCTGACTCAACCGGAGTCTGTGAAGTGTTGGCGGTTGGCGGAGGGTTCATTCGGCGAGGTCGGATGTGGGAGCTCGAGATAGGGAGCAGGGGGGTTGGTTTAGGGGGG